TATTAATCAAAAAGCCTGTCTAATTAATTGAGTTTTACAGTTTTATCTTTACCAAATTCTGTTTTCCATTATTTTCTGGATTCCATTTTAATGGTTCCATTAAATTTTAATAATCAAAAGCATCTCCAATTAATTGATTTTTTTTTTTTTTTTAAATGTTTACAAAGTTTTTTTTTTTCAGGAATACTGCACATTTAAATTTTTCTTCTAAATAAATTATGGTAAATAATATTTCTGGTAAATACTTCTTTAAAAAGTGTTTTTTGATTATAATTGTATTATTAGTAGACTAGAACACGTGGATATGTTGTCATTCTTACACTATAATACTGAACTTTGATTTCAGTGATTTGGACTATGAGATGGACACTTGCTTCTTGCACTTTATGTTGCACTTTACTTTTTTACTTTTGGACTTCATTTGGTTTAATGAAATTTAGTTTAATAAAATATTCTTAAGTAAAATTGTTGATTTTTTTGTGGGAAATGAATCGTTTAGATTAATCGATTAATCGATAAATTGGGCGATAGATTAATCGAAATAAAAATAGTCGTTAGTGGCAGCCCTAATTTTAGCTATCCCGCTGCCTCTGACATCTCGTCTGCTCTCTATCTGTGTCTGGGTTGGAGCTCAGGCAGCTCCTCCACACACACACACACACACACAGAGAGAGAGAGCAGACTGAGATGGGTGACCTGAGCATGTGCGATTACCTGTGTCTGTCCTTCAGGCCAAGTCATATATTCATGAAACAGTTTGTGATGAAATCGATATCTTTGTCATAGTATCTTTTCAACAATTAAGGGGATTTCCCATGGCTGGCGTCAGCGTTGTTCAATGCATTGATTCAACACCATCAATGAAACATCAGCTTCAGCGTTACCCAGGTGACATGGTGACCATTGATTGAACCTTATAAAGTGGTGCTCAAAGTTAAATTAATTTCAACAATTTGTTTCAATCATGAATGAATCAGCTTTTCAAAGTGTATTAGTGAATTAATGAACAGACTGGTTTAATGATGACTACTCATAAAGACCGTTCCTTACCACCACCGACTGGCGTAAAAATGTAATTGCATTAATTGCATCTAGGCATAAAAACAGTTTTTCCCCAGGCCATCTCCACCTTAAATAACTAACACACCAATTTACAGTCTGCTTTTTTGTTATAAATTATAATTCAGTGCTCTTGTGGCTTTAGGTAATATGTAAATACATACTTTTATTCATACAGCTGTATATACAGTACATAATGAACACGGTCTGTACATAAACCTCCAGATCTAATGTAAGTTACTGTTTTTTAATTTATTATTACCATTTTGTTTTTCATTTTGCTTATTTTTTTACTTATTTAAATTTTTTATGTTCTTCTTTCACTCATGTTATATATATATATATATGCATGTATGTATGTACTGTACCCAAACCTCCTGGAACCCACAACAAATTCCTCATGTGTTTGTGCACACTTGGCGAACAAAGCTCATTCTAATTCTAATTTTTCATATTGGGTTGATGTATACATTTGAAGGCTTTATCAACCAGTTCCAATGATGTTTTGATAATATCATGTTTCCCTATTCCTAACCAGAATAGCCAAAAGTCTGGCTAAGTGAGACTGTGTAAGTAACTGTGTCACTCTAAGCTAGGGCAACAGATGTGATGACTCTAACCTGTGGCATTAGATTTGGCTGTACGTTCTTCAGTTTCTCCAGGGCCTGTAGCAGAGGTGGGGCTTCCCTGAAGCCCAGGAAACCAGCCACATAAGGGGTATTAAGAGTCACCATCTTACAATCTTCATACAGAACCTATGGAGTAAATAATACTGTGTTAGAATTTAGGATAATTCATTATTAAGATACAGTATGATAGTGAAGTAGCAGCAGTTATTACAAATGGCAGGCATTCTGAGAGTTTCAACTTAGAAAGGGGCACTGGGCAGGGTTGCCTATTGTCACTCTTGCTTTTTGCTATGGTTATTGAGTGAGTGAGTGAGTGAAGTGATGTGTGGCCAAGTACTGCCCCCTTATTGAACCTCTAGCAGAGGCTGTGAGATGTTGAGATGTAATTTGCATATTTAATAATAGTAGTAATAATAATAATAATGTTTATTTTATATAGCGCCTTTTGCAAACTCGAGGTCGCTTTACAATATCAAAACAGATAAACATGACAGGAAAAAAAAAGAAAAGAAAAAGAATAATACAGATAAACATGAAATACATGGCATGAATTAGATCATGCAGTCAGAGATCAGAGAAACAAGAAAGGAAAAGATATATTTTAAGGTGGGTTTTAAAATCCTGTAATGAAGAGAGATCAGAGAAACAAGAAAGGAAAATATATATTTTAAGGTGGGTTTTAAAATCCTGTAATGAAGAAAGATCATGAATGTGTTTGGGAATAGAATTCCAAAGTGTGGGGGCAGAGATAGGGCTGCCAACAAGGCTGAAAAACTAAATTCGAATTTTGTACATAACTATTATCAATATTCGAATTATATTCGAATTTAAAAGGCATAATTTCAGTTGGGGGGGAAAAGCTTTTGGCTTCTCTCCTGAGGCCACAAGAGGGCGCATCGAACAAAATATTATGCATGTTTCTTCAAAGCATAATAAAATAACACGACTATCTTTGAAAAAAGTGCATAATGTTTCAAATAATGCTTATAAACCTTATATAATTACAGTTGCTTAAACAATTAGAAACAAAACAGAATCATGCATGTATATATAGTAGGACTGCACGATAAATCGCATGCGAAATTTAATGCGCATCTTGTCAGTAATGTATGTATAGTTTAATACAAAGGACCGAAAACCAATCACAAAGAGTACTTTCTTCATTTAAAAACTTGAGATGCAGTAGGATGGGGAAAACCTGCCATAAAGTCTCGAGACATGTTTTTAAAAAGTTGAACTTACATTCATTTTAATGTATGCTTTAATGTATTTTAATGTAATGCTTTCTAAACATGCTTTCTTTTGTGCGAGACGCAAGTGCAACGGTGATAGATTTCGCTCTAGAATATGTGATAAATATGCATTCTGTGTGAACGGTTTGGTTTTGGTTTTGACGTTAACAACATCATCTCCGCATTGATGTTCTTTTTTTCCCGCAATATTTTGAATGAACAACATAGCAGTGCCGCATCTAGTGGGTTCAACTGGATAGGCTACCAAAAGCATTAAAATGCAATGACACTTACATCGCCGTCGCATCTCGTGCACCACTGATAAGGCTGCCTGATGCACACCTAAAATTTGAATGCAACATTGGATTTTTATTTTAAATTCAACGAATATTAGAAATTCGAATTTTTTTTTGACAGGCCTAGGAAGAGATACAAAACACTCGTCCACCAAACGATGCTAACCTGTGGCGTGGAATTAACAGTAGACCAGTATCTGAAGAGCGTAGTGTGCGAACTGGGGAGTAAGTATGAATGAGATCAGAAATATATGGGGGGGCGAAACCATGAAGTGCTTTGAAGGTGATGAGGAGAATCTTGTATTGAATACGAAAACGAACGGGTAGCCAATGAAGTCTGTGTAGGATGGGAGTAATGTGAGAAGATTTCTTTGAAAAAGTGAGAACTCTAGCTGCAGAGTAAAAAGTGAGAACCCTAGCTGCAGATTTCTGGATATATTGGAGCTTATTTAATGTTGTGTTTGGTAGACCATAGAAAATAGAATTACAGTAGTCGAGTCAAGAAGTAATGAAGGCATGAAGGCAGTGTCTCAGCATCATTGATATTTAAGAAGGGACGTAAGCGAGCGATATTACGGAGGTGAAAAAGGCAGATTTAGTGAGTGAAGAAATGTGAGGTAGGAAGGAGAGAGAGGAGTCGATTATACCCAGGTTTTTAACGGTGGTGGAAGGGCGAACATAAGATCCCTGAAGTTGCAAAGACTAAAGTCTCAAAACCAAAGAGATATTCTTTATCAAAGTTAAGACTCTGCCACGCCCCCCTAAAACAGCTCATTCTAACACGCCCCCACATATCTACCTCACTATGTGGAAATATTAGCATAATGCCGCCCAAATGTGCACGCAATGAAAGACGGCGTGGTTTCAGTAACCGCAGTTAGTGTTGAAGCAGCCATGTCCATGACCATGACCCCTTTAACATTGTCAGCACAGAAAGGAGCAACATTTTTTGGTGAACTGACAAGTAGTAGATCTGTTTTATCAGTGTTGAGTTTGAGAAAGTTACTGGTCATCCAAGCATTTATATCATTATTACAAGCTGATATGGAGTTGGTGGGAAAGGAAGAGTTGTGTTGAGAACTGATATAGAGCTGGGTGTCATCTGCATAGCAGTGGAAGTTGAAGCCATGAAGACGGATAATGTTACCTGAAGGGAGCATATAGATGATGAAGAGTAAAGGCCCAAGAACCATACCCTTTCTGGTATTTTGGTTAATGATAAACAACATAAAATTTAATCACTCACCGAAATTCGGTGATGGTTTACCCATGGTTTACTGATTTCTCTCTCACATTTGTTTTAGATGTTAAAAAAAAATCTCTGGTCTAGGGCAGAACAGGATTATTAGTAACACATTACGAGTGTGGAAATTAATCAGGAGTTGGGAAGGGAAAGCCAAAACTTTGTTACCTATTACTCCAATACAAGGAAATTTAGATTTTCAGCGTGGAATAATGGATAATGGTTTCATATTGTAGAGAGAAGTTGGTATAAGCACTATTGATCCTTTTTCAGGATTTTTTCAAATTATCATTTGAACAGTTGAGGGATAAATTTAAATTACCCTAAAATAACTTCTTCAGGTATTTTCAAATTAAGATCTTTGTGCAAAAGCATATCGTCCCTGGATTTTCTTCTTGCCCCACTCCAACAGAACGGGTGCTCCTGGATAACAGAACTAAGAGGTCACTAATAAAGCGATGTTATGAAGCTCTTTTACAAGGAGGAAAAGTCAACCCTAGCTACAGTGTATAGAAAATTTTGTTGCTTTGCAGCCTGAAATGAAGACGGATAGTTTTTGTTTTATCCAGCTGTAATTACTCAGTGCAACTTATAACATCCAAGTGAAAGATATAACACCAACATGCCAGAAAAAAATTAAAAATCCAAAAAGTTGGAAAAAGGATCACTCCCCTCCTAAACTCAATCAGGTGTAGCTAATCACCTTCTAAGTGGCACACAAAGCCATTTCATGTTCAACTGTGATCAGCTGTGATCATTTTGAGTAGCTCAGCATGAAAAGAGCTTTCCTGGAGCATTTCAGTCCTTGGCAGTGCAACTGAAGCAAACAATCAAATACAGTATGGGTGGCAAGGCACTGTCAAAAGATCTCAAGGATAAAGTTGTGGACAGGCACAAGTCAGGAGATGGATACAAAAAAAATGAAAAGGCTGTATCAATGCCTAGAAGCACAGTGATGTCTATTATTAAGAAGTGGAAGGTATTTGGTACAACACAGACCCTTCCTGGATCAGGACATCACTCCAAAATTAATGAAAGAGCCAGGAGGAAACTGGTCAGAGAGTCAAGTCAAGTCACCTTTATTTGTATAGTGCTTTATACAATACTGGTTGTGTCAAAGCAGCTTTACAGAGTCAAACAGGAAAAGTTTGTTGATAATGCAAGAAGATAATGCAAGAAGAGTCATTTTTCCAGTTAAAGTCAGTTCATTGATGATTCAATGATTCAGAGGACTTGTCAGGTTCCCGTGGTCTTGTGCCGATGGTCGTCGAGGTGATGAGGTCTTCACAGGGGATCTGTCTCTGGGGCGCATCTAGTTGACATGGTCTCCACTGACATTCAGGGCTGTAGAGGTCGTCTCTAGGTGCTGATCCACCATCTGGTCTGGATATGGACTGGATCTGGGTGGCTACAGTGACCATCTGATCTGAACACAAACTGGATCCGTATGGCTACGGTGACCTCGGAATAAGAATGAAAGAGACTAATATTAGCATAGATGCCATTCTTCTTACGATGTAGTGAGTACATCGGGTGTTATGGGAAGTGTTCCCGGTTTCGGTTGACCTAATTAATGCAGCCTAACAACTCTATAATGGATTTGAATTATAGCAATGTGATAGTGTATTATGTGTATGCAAGGTTAAAGAGATGGGTCTTTAATTTAGATTTAAACTGACAGAGTGTGTCTGCCTCCTGAACAATGCTAGGTAGATTGTTCCAGAGTTTGGGCACTAAATAGGAAAAGGAACTGCTGCCCGCAGTTGATTTTGATATTCTAGGTATTATCAAATGGCCCGAGTTTTGAGATCGCAGCGGACGTGAAGGACTATAATGCGATATGAGCTTGCTCAAGTATTGAGGAGCTAAACCATTCAGGGCTTTATAAGTAGTTAGCAAGATTTTAAAATGTATTTGTTGTTCAATAGGGAGGCAGTGCAGAGTTGACAGAAACGGGCTAATATGGTCGTAATTCCTGGTTCTAGTAAGAACTCTAGCTGCTGCATTTTGGACCAGCTGGAGTTTGTTTATTAAGTGCGCAGAGCAACCACCCAATAAAGCATTACAATAATCTAACCTTGAGGTCATGAACGCACAAATTAATGTTTCTGCATTTGACATTGAGAGCATAGGTCGTAATTTAGATATATTTTTAAGATGGAAAATGCATTTTTAACAAATGCTAGAAACATGGTTTTCAAAGGAAAGATTGCTATCAAATAGCACACCTAGGTTCCTAACTGATGACAAAGAATTAACAGAGCAGCCATCAAGTGTTAGACAGTGTTTTAGGTTATTACATGCGGAGGTTTTTGGTCCAGTAATTAAAACCTCTGTTTTGTTTTTTGTTTTTCA